TAGTGCTGAAGGAGCCGAAGCCAAAGCAAAGGCTTTGAAGGCCAAGAAGGCAGTGCTGAAAGGCATCCACAGCCACATACCCAAAAAAACAAGATCTGCAAGTCACCCACTCCTGGTGGCCCAAGGCACTGCAGCCCCAGAGGCAGCCCAAATATCCTTGTAAGATAGCAGGATACAAGGAGAAAGAAGCTTGTCCACTGTGTCATCAACTTCCTCCTGACCACTGAGTCTGCCATGAGGAAAACAGAAGACAACAACATACTTGTGTTCATTGTGGATGTTAAAGCCAACAAGCACCAGGTCAAATAGGCTGTAAAGACGCTCCATAACATTGATGAGGCCAAGGTCAAGACCCTGATCAGACCTGATGAAGCGATGAAGGCCTATGTTCGACTGGCTCTTGATTATGATGCTTTGAAGGTTGCCAACAAAATTGGAATCATCTAAACTGAGTCCACCTGGCTAATTCTAAATATATATATTAATACCTTTTCACCAGAAAAAGAAAGACTCAAGCACTATCAATAGTTAAGTAACCATAATGACAAAGGTGATAGATAAATTTTTTCTAACACATTTCATGCCTTACAATAGGACAAAATAGATATTCTGTAACCCATGCTTTGCCATTCAATAAACTGCGGCCACTTACCATATTTTATGACTACTTTTTTGGCAGTTATATTTCAAACCTAGAAAGTACTATAATTCTATAAATATCAAAGTCACACCTCTTAATATACTACATTATTGAGTTTTTATGCTTTTCTCTAAAATTAAAGTCTACTCATTTACTTTTTCTCAGACTTGTCTCCATGGCACCAGACACCCAAACAGAAAGCCTAGAATTCACAAACATGAACTACAAGTTTCTAAAATGGACCCAAGTTAAGGTAAACACATTTGCAACACCAACTTTTAGTATATATTATTGAGTGAATGTTTATGCAAAGATTAATGCGTATATCCATCATATAGCATTATCAGAAAAGGACCCTGGACTACTCCAACTCTTATTTTTCAATTTTAGTTTAATTCTCGAACTAGATAGCTTTCAGGGACAGTAAGAGAATAGGACATGAATGTCTATACAAATTAGCACAGGTCTGAATCATGAAAGAAATTAGTTTGATTTATGGAAAACAGCTAAGTACCAACTAAGAACTAATCCAAACCAAAACATTCAGCACAATTTTCATTTCTGTCAACTTCAGCTCCTGACTAGAAAAGCTACCCTAGCTATGACAGGCCAGGCACAGTGGCTCATGCCTGTAATCCCAGCATTTTGGGAGGCCAGGGTAGGCAGATCACCTGAGGTCAGGAGTTCGAGATCAACCTGACCAACAGGGAGAAACCCTGTCTCTACTAAAAAAATACAAAATTAGTTGGGCGTGGTGGCACATGCCTGTAACCCCAGCTACTTGGGAGGCTGAGGCAGGAGAATCACTTGAACCTGGGAGGAAGAGGTTGCAGTAAGCCAAGATTGCACCATTGCTCGCCAGCCTGGGCAACAGGAGTGAAACTCCAGGAAAAAAAAAAAAAAAGACATTTAATGTCATTTATCATGACATTTAGTAGAGTTGGCAGTCCTTTCTCTAAAGCTAAAACTACTGTTTCTGCCTTATACCCCAAGTGCCAAAGCCTTGAATTAGATCAATGACTCTGAAATGGAAGCCAGTGGTGAACCAAATAATCAAGGTAATTTGTTTCCAAAATATATCCACCCCTTTCACACTCCCCCACTCCATAAGATTCTGACGGGAAGTGGAGATGATATAAGTGATATGTTCATGCCTTTTTAAAAACTCCTAGATTGTTTTGAGGTATCTATTTCTAACTTCATGAAGAATTAGGTCCAAACTTTTTTAAAGCACTTTATCAATCACAGGCTTAAGGAGCAGAGCCACAAAGTGACAAGGGCTCAGCAGAAGGCTGGGAAGGTAAGGAGCTGTACTTAGAACAAATGTAACCAACTTTCAAAGCTTTCTGTACTGGCTCCCTCCAGAATCCACTGCATTTTAGTCGGTGACAAATGTTCAATTCAACATCCCAAGAAAAGCACACAGTCTACTAGCCAGATAAAAATGTAAAAAGAAGCAATTCTGGAAATAAAATAATAATAAGAAGAAGAAGCCACAGACGATGACAGACAAAAAAATCTTCTGTTCTGGCTTTAAAAGAACAGTAAATAAGGATCTCTGAGGGGAAAAAAAAAGAACAATAACAAAGTACTGTTGTGGTAACTAGTTTCAAAACTTCTGCCCATATTTTATCATTTTAATTTTTTTATGATGTAGCATTGGTTTTTCTATAAGGCTCAGTAGAGGTAAAAATCTCAATCGTTCTAGAACTTAACATACTACATGATGTCAAAATAATGTATTACAAATAAACTTAAATCTGAATCACATGTCAAGATAGTTTAAGGGCTGGGCTAAAAAACACATTTTCAAGGTCTATTTTAGGGCAAACAATTAAACTCCTTTACAATCATTGTTTCAAAATCCTTATAAACAGCTCCAATACCAAAATGTTTCATAAGAGAGAACTTCTATTATGTATAAGTTATCATCCAACCACTACTATATGCTAATTTGGACTAGTGTTTCTTTAACTACTTGGTAATTTCCTACTCATGCTCAACTTACTGCATTCTACAATGACACCTACTGGCCATTCAAAATCAGCCGTTAGTTCTCTAAGACAGCTCTAGTAGGCTGGTTACATAAGAAGAAACACAGAAACACACACACACACACACACACACACACACACACACACACACGCCCATGCACAAAAGCAAAGATTTGTTAACTGGTACTCAAAACACTACAGAATTGCACCTAAAATAGAGCCAGAAATTTTGTGACTGAGACTGCATTATTCTTGGAAAATGAGAAAAGACAGAGAACAAAACACAAAACATCAATTTAAAATTTTTATCTAAAGCATTGACAAATATCTCAATACTAGGAACATCTCTAACAAACAAACTTTAATGATATACCTCTTTTCCAACTAAAATTTTGAGAAAAAAATCAGATTTTGATTTAGATTTATATATAGGAATATAAATTATCACTAACAGAAAACAGTCACATCTTATAAAGTTTTTCTGACATGCAGTACCGAAATAAGCTTAGGAAAAATTGTAGAGCTGCTGATACTACATTATACTTTATTTCTTAAGCTAAAGGCAGTATTTCAAACACCTTACGTTTTAGCAATTTATAACGCTTATTTTAAAATTACTTTCCAGTGATTCTCTGACAATTGTTTTTCCATGAGCTATAAAATCAAGTTTTTATGTCGTTTGCCCTTCTATAACACACACCGAATAGAACTCCTATTTTAATTACACATTCTACTGTGGAAACAATTAATTATAAAACTTAAAAAAAATAAGATAATTTAGTTCATTACAAATATATGTTGCCTCTGTCCGAGAGGTTCAGAGTCTACTTTTTAAACCTAATAAAGAATTGATAACTAGCTTCAGACTTGCTTACAGAACAAACTACTTAAAAGTTGACTTTTTTCGGCCGGGTGAGGTGACTTATGCCTGTAATCCCAGTACTTCGAGAGGCCAAGGCGGGCCGATCAGCTGAAGTCGGGAGTTTGACACCAGCCTAAACAACATGGAGAAACTCCGTCTCTACCAAAAATACAAAATTAGCGGGGCGTGGTGGCACATGCCTGTAATCCCAGGTACTTGGGAGGCTGAGGGAGGAGAATTGCTTGAACCCAGGATGTGGAGTTTGCAGTGAGCAGAGATTGCGCCATTGTACCCCAGCCTGGGCAACAAGAGCAAAACTCCGTCTCACAAAAAAAAAAAAAAAGTTGACGTTCTTCCCCAAATTCAGAGCATCACTTTATTTGCACAGTCCCTAACTTCCACAAAAGGGGGGGGGGGGGGCGAGGGGGGGTAGGATCCATCAATTAATTTTCTAGTCATTTTCCAACTTGCCCTTAGCTCCTCGTGTAGATTTTTTAAGGATTTACACTTTCCTGAAGATTTTTTTTTAAATGTTGTCAGCCATGTCCCTCAAAACAAATAAATTCACGAACTACAAAACATGAACCTGGCCACATTCACCGCCAACTAGTATCTGTCAAGTCAAGTCCATATTTGGGATAAGCTCTTCGTGACTACTCTATCTTCCATGCTACCACCCTTCGCCTACAGAACCAGTCAAGGTAAAAGGCACTCGAGCCAACAAAAAAAGTGTTCTAACACATTAATAGGTTGCAAGACCTCCTCTTTTAGGAGGGACAACCTAGCTGTTTGGGTAAATAACAGCCAAGGATTATATAATGTACAGCTATAATGAGTTTTCAGGATCTGACCACCAGTAAATATTTTTCTTCTCCGCTCCCCCTCCCTACCAATAGGAAATGGCCCTAAGAAGCAATCACTGAGATTTCTCTTAGCTGTCTGCAGTGCCGTGTCCTTTTCTCGCCTGGGGCTTTGTGCAAGGAATCCCTTCAGCCCTCGCCACACTGCCTTGCTCCCGCCTCTCTCCTCTTTCTCTGCCAGCGCCACCGCAGCCCCCACGCCCTAGGTGGGCCCCCCACGTCGCCCCACAGGGCTCGGGTTCCACCCGCCTCGGCTGCCGCCTTCTCCTCCTCAAGACCCTCCCAAGATGCTACCTGGTTGACAAGAGGTTCCGGGACCACCGACACTCTGGCTACCGCCTTTCTAGACCACCCTCGCCAGCTCCCTTCTGTAGCTTCCGCGGCCGAAAGAAAAGAAAAACCCTCTTCATCTAGCGCTTTGCGTCCCCCAAAGACAGCACCGCCGCCTACCTGTCACCCTGCTGTCTCCGGCTTCCTACCGCCACCGCCTCCCGCAGCAGCCTGCCAACTGCAGCGCAACAAACAGCCCTCTCATTGGGTGAGAACACGCGCTCAACAGCCTCTCTTATTGGGTGCAGCATGTCCGAGGCCCTACGCTGTGTGCAGTGTCTAAGGATTCCTTCCCCGAGCAAGGAAAACATCTTGTCTTCCCAGCCCTTCTCTCTTTCGCAATATCTGTTAACTCAGTCAGACTGAGGATGCATATATGTGGGGAAAATATCGACTTCCAGCCTCCCTCATGTGACCTCTACCTCATTCAGGAATCTCTGACCCAGTATCGGAACGTTAAACGGCTTCTCCGCTTTCCTGCCGTGAGAGACTCGCGGTGACAACCTCCGCTTCCGGTTGGCTCCGGTTGCACAGTTGAGTGTCCTGAGAGGTCAGTTTGCCGTCAGGTAAATTGGGGAGTTGGTGGGAGACCTCTTGATTTAGGATTAAGAGCTAGACTTTATTCTGGGGAGTGCAGAAAGTGAGAGACTAACTGGAGAAGGATGGGAGGGAGGGAGGTCGACGAATTAGCGGTAGAGAACTGATGAAGTCCTAGTTTAGCATTGGGGTAGGGAGAGGTGGTTGGAGGATTCCATGACCATTACTGTAGTTGTTAAATCCAGGTGCCTTTTCCCGCCTCTGCCACGCGTAAAATCCCCCCAACTTTTGGTTTGTCTTTGTTTGCCTTTGGATCGAACAAAGGCAGAAGAACAGCATCACTGTTTTTTATTTTCTAATATTCATATAATATTCAGAGTTTTTTAAATAAGAGGAAATTAGAATATATACGTGATAGTCTTTGGTAAACTCAAATTGCATGTAGTGGAAGTGACGTTATCTTATTTCTTAGGGAAAGGATACCAGCTCTTTTTCTGTACTAGAGCCAGCTTCCTTAAGTGGAGGTTGATCTTCATCAGACTTTTAGATTCACTTCAGACACAGGTAGATGGCTTTTAAAATTTTTGGTTGCATGTGTTTTCTTTATTTAACTAATCTCCTTACTGTTATTATTTGAGCTGCTCTGAAATGGAAATAACCACTTATTTTCAGTCTTCACAATATAAGTCACTTTTTCTAATTTTATCTTTTATTGTCAAGTATACATACAGAAGTGTGTATAAAACATACATTTAAAAAAATTAGCCGGGCGCGGTGGCTCAAGCCTGTAATCCCAGCACTTTGGGAGGCCGAGGCGGGTGGATCACGAGGTCAAGAGATCGAGACCGTCCTGGTCAACATGGTGAAACCCCGTCTCTACTAAAAATACAAAAAATTAGCTGGGCATGGTGGTGCGTGCCTGTAATCCCAGCTACTCAGGAGGCTGAGGCAGGAGAATTGCCTGAACCCAGGAGGCGGAGGTTGCGGTGAGCCGAGATTGCGCCATTGCACTCTAGCCTGGGTAACATGAGTGAAACTCTGTCTCAAAAAAAAAAAAAAAAAAAAAAAATTATAACTAACAGGCAGACACTCCTGTAACCACACCTTAGGTTACAAAACAAAACATTGCCAATAACTTAGAACATGCATTCTTAACAGGGGTGATTTTGCATTTCAAGGGGGTGAAAATTGGTGGGGCTGGGGTAGGAATCTTAGTTACTACAATGATTTGTGTCACTCCAAATGGCCACAGTATATAAACAGATATACAGTATATACTTAGTGTTAAATTTTCATTGGATGGAAGTGTGATGAGGAATAAAATGTCTTAAAAGGTTCCTTACAGAGACAGTAATTAAAAATTGTTTGAAAAACACTGCCTTAGAAGCTCCCTGTATGTTTCTGTGATTCCATCTCCTCCACGAAGAGGTAACCATTATCCTGACATGTGCTTAGTACTCCCTTGTTTTACTTTAATTTTTCCATCTATGATGCATTCCTAAAAGATGAATTGTTAGGCTTTTCAATTTACATAAATGGGATCAGAGTGCATGTGTATTTTTTTCTGACTCACCCTTTGCTCATTATTATATTTGTGGAGACTTACTCATACTTTTGCATGTAGTTTTTTGTTGTATAATATCCTATAGTGTGACTACACCATAATCCGTTCTATTGTTGGACATTTCGGTTGTTTACAGTTGACAGAATAAACAATGTGGCTATAAAGATTATTTTAAAAACATTTCCTTTTTTTATTTTGTTAAGACAAGAGTCTTGATGTCTCTAAGAAAATATTTTAAATATTTTTTATATTCCATAAATATAAACCTTTGATCTGTGATATGTTTATAAGATTTACAGTTGATAAAGTAGATTCACATATCCAAATTGTCCCAAAGACACCTTTTTTTTTTTTTTTTTTTTTTTTGAGACAGAGTCTCGCTCTGTTGCTCAGGCTGGAGTGCAGTAGCATGATCTCGGCTCACTGCAATCTTCATCTCTTAAGTTCAAGCAATTCTCCGGTGTCAGTCTCACCAGTAGCTGGGACTGCAGGCCTGCACCTTCACAACCAGCTAATTTTTGTATTTTTAGTAAAGATGGGGTTTTGCCATGTTGGTCAAGCTTTTCTTGAACTCGTGACCTTAGGTGTTTCACCTGCTTCAGCTTCCCAGTGTGCTGGGATTACAGGCATAAGCCAGCACATCTGGGCTCCATGGACACTTTAATATTTTCTAATAATGATTCGATAATCTGTTTTGAGATTAAATTGATTGAAATTAAATTTAAATTCCCTTTTCCCAATTGCACCATCCACATTTCAAGTGCTAGTGGCTACCACATTGGACAGTGTTTATCTAGAATCAGATATTCATATGTTCAGATTTTCTTTATATATATATATTCTTTTGAGATGGAGTCTCACTGTCACCCAGGCTGGTGTATGGTGGCATGATCTCGGCTCACTGCAACCTCCACCTCCTGGGTTCAAGCAATTCTCCTCCCTCAGCCTCCTGAATAGCTGGGACTACAGGTGTGTGCCACCGCACCTGGCTAACTTTTGTATTTTTTAGTAGAGATGAGGTTTCACCATGTTGGCCAGGCTGGTCTCAAATCTCCTGACTTCAAATGAGCTGCCTGCCTCAGCTTCCCAAAGTGCTGGGATTATAGGCATGAGCCACTGCACCTGCCCATGTTCAGCTTTTCGAGGTGAAGCCAGTTTTTCAGAATGGTTGTGCTAAGTTACATTCTCATCACTAAGGTGTGAAAGTAGAAGGCATATCACAATGTGCTTTTTCATTCTCACAATCTTGCAAGGCAGGTTATCCTCATGTTACATGAAGAAACTGAAGTTCAGGGAAATTAAGCAGTTTGCCTTGGATTTTACTTTCACTAATGCAAAGCAGGAGAATTTCAAACTCTTCCTTTACATGATCAGGATATCATTGTTTGACTTATGGCTATTTGGAAATAGAAGAAAGTTTAAAAAGAAAAATGGGGCAGGTGCCATTGCTCATGCCTGTAATCCCAGTATTTTAAGAGGCCAAGGTGGGAGGAATGCTTGAGGCCAGGAGTTCAATACCAGCCTGGGCAGCATAGGAAGAGAAGATCCTGTCTCTGAAAACAAGAAAAAGAAAAAAGAAAATGAAAGGTTTTCTACAGATAATGTTGTCAACTTTCTGCTCTTTTTGAAAAGAAATTTAAATCTTATATGTAAATTCCTATAAAAAAGAATACTTCTGAAATAGTTAAAAGAGAAAACACATTGAATTTATTTAAATAAATTTGTTTAGGAGAAATGAGGGTATGTATACTTTCATATTTTCTTTCAAAGATTTATCTTTCAAATTACTTAATAGTTTGAGCACAGTAGTATTGTAACTTCAATATAGTCTTTATCCCATGGTAATGTTTTGATTTATTTTCAAAAACCATTTTATTAAAATTCTTGACCCTTTGTTTTATACTCTCTTCCAAATACATTGATACTCAAGTTAATATTCTAGAATTGACATTTGCCAGAATAAGGGTTTGTCTTGTAATCTCTTTAAGCATTTTTAAAATGAAGCCTTAGTTTAAAAAAGATTTTTTGAAAACATGGTATGCAGAAGCCAAGACATTATCATTCTTTTTTTTTTTTTTCTTGAGATGGAATCTCGCACTGTAACCCAGACCGGAGCGCAGTGGCGTGATCTCTGCTTACTGCAATCTCCGCCTCCTGGGTTCAAGCAATTCTCCTGCCTTAGCCTCCCAATTAGCTGGGATTACAGGTGCCCACCACCATGCCCGGCTAATTTTTTTTGTATTTTTAGAAGAGACAGGGTTTCACTCTATTGATCAGGCTGGAACTTGACCTCATGATCCGCTGGCCTCAGCCTCCCAAAGTGCTGGGATTACAGGCGTGAGCCACCATGCCCAGCCCTTATTATCATTCTAAATAAACGCTTGTAATGATCTTCTTTTGTAATAAATGTATTTAGTCTCAAAAGTCAGTCTGAAATCTGACACCATAATTTTTGCCTTCGTTTTATTGAATCTGTGAAGTAATAATGGGTTAAATGTTTCATTCAGAGTTGTGTTGTAGTTTTAACTTGTGTATGAGAGTATTGGTTTTCACTCTCATTTAAATGTGAAAATCCTCCTGGGCGTGGTTGTAATCCCCCCATAATACCAGCATTTTCGGAGACCTATGCCAGAGGATCGAGGATCACTTGAGGCTGGGAGTTTAAGATCAGTCTGGGCAACATAGGGAGGTTCCATCTCTATAAAACATTTAAAAATTAGCTGGGCATGGTGCACACTCCTGTAGTCCTAGCTACTCTGGAGGCTGAGACAGGAGACTCACTTAAGCCCAAGAGTTTGAGGCTGCAGTGCTGCTGTGAGCTGCTAGATCCAGAGCAAGACCCTCTATTTTTAAAAAAAAAAATATATATATATATATACACACACACATAATTAAATGTGAAAATCATCAACATAATATTATTGTTGTTGTTTGAGACAGAGCCTTGCTCTGTTGCCCAGGCTGGAGCGCAGTGGCGCAATCTCTGCTCACTGCAACTTCCGCCTTCCAGGTTCAAGTGATTCTCCTGCCTCAGCCTCCCAAGTAGCTGGGATTACAGGCGCACACCACCACACTCAGCTAATTTTTTTTTTTTTTGAGATGGAGTCTCACTCTGTAGCCCAGGCTGGAGTGCAGTGTCACGATCTTGGCTCACTGTAGCCTCCACCTCCCTGGTTCAAGCAATTCTCCTACCTCAGCCTCCCAAGTAGCTGAGATTACAGGCACAAGCCACCATGCCCAGCTAATTTTTGTATTTTTTTAATAGAGACGGGGTTTCACCATGTTGGCCAGTCTGGTCTTGAACTCCTGACCTCGTGATCCGCCCGCCTCGGCCTCCCAGAGTGCTGGGATTACAGGCATGAACCACCATGCCCGGCCTAATTTTTGCATTTTTTAGTAGAGACAGGGATTTGCCATGTTGGCCAGGCTGGTCTTGAACTCCTACCCTCAGATGAGCCACCTGCCTCAGCCCCCCAAAGTGCTAGCATTACAGGGGTGAGCCACCGCGCCTAGCCAACATAATATTTTTTAGTATCTTAACATGTTTACAAGTATTAAGTGTTGGTTAGTTTTTCAGAGTTAGTATGTACAATTTTTTTCCTCATATCTTGGAACTATTGTTAATTTTTTGAGACAGAGTCTCGCTCTGTCGCCCAGGCTGGAGTGCAGTGGCTCCATCTCAGCTCACTGCAACCTCTGCCTCCTGGGTTCAAACGATTCTCATGCCTCGGCCTCCCAATGATGTGTCTTAAATATACACTATCTAATAATTACCTCTCTCTAAGATCCTATGTAAGAAATCCTACCAGGCCAGGCATGGTGGCTCACGCCTATAATCCCAACACTTTGGGAGGCCAAGGCGGGCAGATCACTTGAAGTCAGGAGTTCAAGAGCACTCTGGCCAATATGGTGAAACCCTGTTTCTACTAAAATATACAAAAAAAATGAGCCAGGCATGGTGACAGGCACTTGTAATCCCAGCTACTTGGGAGCCTGAGGCAGGACAATCATATGAACCTGGGAGGTGGAGGTTGCAGTGAGCTGAGATGGTGCCACTACATTCCAGCCTGGATGATAGTGAGACTCCATCTCAGAAAAAATCCTACCGTATTATTGGACCTGTTAATAGTTATAAATAAGGACATAATGGTAATAATTACTTGGTTTTACTTCTGGAAAAGCAGTGATTATAGAATTGCTACTCCTTGCCAAGTAATTAGAATTCAGAAAAATAAAAATTAAAGAATTTCTACTGCTAACCTTATACAAATTATAGTATAGTACAATTAATCCATACCCCTTAATTTGAATTAGCAATTTAATTGGGAACTGAGCTGGTATTATTTTTATATTATATATTAAAATAACACTAGTAAAACTGAAGTATTTATATAATTATTGAGGACATATTTTATTTAAGGAAACAAATTTATAAGGAGTCCTAAGGTCTCTGTTGGCCCAGTTCAGGGATCGGCAAACTTCAGTCTGTGGACCAAATCCAGCCCACTGCCAATTTTTGTAAGGTACATGAGCTAAGAATGGTTTTTACAAATGAACATTTGTAATCACTTTGATACTAAAGATCACTAACTTTGAGCCCCAATTAAGCAAAGTGTTACCCCCAAAAAGGGAATTCCATTTTTTCTTCAGTAGACCTGTATAAATAAATAAAAAAATGTACTCAGTTATTTATTATATTTTGAATTTTATCAATAAGGTATTTGTGGAAGTGTGTTTTCTCTCCCTATATATGTACCTACATAATTGCCTCGATTTTACCTCTTTTGCCCACAAAGCCTAAAATATTTACTATCTGCCTTTTTAGAGAAAACTTTCATGTAATCATATGTAATTAAAAGCATTACAGCATTTTAAAAGAATCATCTAAAGAAAATTTTTTTAAAACAGTATGTATAACCTTTTTGTTATATATATTTGTGCATTATGAAAAGACTCAAAAGGAAAACAATATTGCTTTGAAGTTAGGAGCAGGGTTCTGAAACCAAACTGCAAGGTTCAAATCTCAGCTGTACCATTTACCATTTTTGTTACCTTTGGAAAGTTACTTAACTGCTTGGAGTCTCATTTTCCTCATCTGTAAAATGGGGATACTCATAATTTAAGTTCAAAGAGTTGTTTTAGAAGTAATGGAGTTAATATATGTAAAACATTTTAGCATAGTACACCTGGCACATAGGACTCAATAAATGTTTACTATTATTATAATGAAGAAAGAACCAGATAGTAAGTGGTTATCTCTGAGTGGCAGGATTGCCAATTATTTTTCTTTTTTATATTTTGTATATGTGTATTTCCTGTGAACTTGGCTGTGGAATAAGACACTTTTATAGAATCTTTTAACTAAAATTTTTAATTATTTATATTGGCTGTTTTTTTTTTAAAAAATTATATATATATATGTATATATATGTGTGTGTATATATATAAATTGTTTCACCTGAAAACATGAACAATAAATTTGGGTATTTGATATCTACAATTTGCATGTTTCTTATATGTGCCCTTATTTTCCTTATAGACATGGCACATGGACATGGACATGAACATGGACATGGTAAAATGGAACTTCCAGATTATAGACAATGGAAGATAGAAGGGACACCATTAGAAACTGTCCAGAAGAGGCTGGCTGCAAAAGGGCTAAGGGATCCATGGGGCCGGTAAGATGAATTAAGTAATTTAGATAGAATGTATCCTAGGGAATCAAGTGTCTCTGTTCCTTTTCAATGTATTCTCCTTAGAGAATCACGAAAAATGGCTTTTTACATTAAAGTTTTTTATTTGTTTTGAGACAGGGTCTCACTCTTACACCCAGAGTGGAGTTCAGTGGTGTCCTCACAGCAACCTCCATCTCCTAGGCTCAAGTGATGCTCCCACTCTCCCAAGTAGCTGGGACTATTGTCATGGGCCACCATGCCCAGCTAATATTTGTATTTTTAGTAGAGACAGGGTTTTGCCATGTTGCCCAAGCTGATCTCGAACTCCTGAGCTGAAGCGATCTGCCCACCTTGGTCTCCCAAAGTGTTACAATGACAGGTGTGAGCCACTATGCCCAGCCACATTAAAGTTGTAAAATAAACTTTATTGTGGTATCATTTATATATAGTAAAATTCACCTGTTTTAAGTATAAGTCCTTTATCAGATAAAAGCTTCGTGGTGCTTGCTTCAGCAACACATATACTACAATTGTAATACAAAGAAGTTAGTATGGCCCTGTGCAAGGATTTTTAAAAAATTTTTTTAAAGTTTGCAAATGTTTTTTCCCACAATGTGGCTTATCTTTTGATATTCTTAATAATGTCTTTCAGAGAGTTTAAAATTTTGATGAATTCACGCAATTTTTTTCTTTTACAATTTTTGCTTTTTGCAACCTAAGATTATCTTCTGTGCTTTCTTTTAGAAGATTTTATAGATCTTCTTACATTTCTGTGATCTATTTTGAGTTCATTTTCATGTCATATGAAGTAAGGATGATGGTTAGTATTTTTACATATGTGCATCCAGTTACTCCAGCACTATACTATTTATTAAAAGATTATCTTTCCCCTATTGAATTAGCTTAATGTTGTCAAAAATCCATTGAGTGATTTTTTTTTTTTTTTTTTTTTTTTTTTTGAGACGGAGTTTCGCTTTTGTTACCCAGGCTGGAGTGCAATGGCGCGATCTCGGCTCACCGCAACCTCCGCCTCCCGGGTTCAGGCAATTCTCCTGCCTCAGCCTCCTGAGTAGCTGGGATTACAGGCACGTGCCACCATGCCCAGCTAATTTTTTGTATTTTTAGTAGAGACGGGGTTTCACCATGTTGACCAGGATGGTCTCGATCTCTTGACCTCGTGATCCACCCGCCTTGGCCTCCCAAAGTGCTGGGATTACAGGCTTGAGCCACCGCGCCCGGCTCATTGAGTGATTTTTGACACTCAGTGGGCGTGGTGGCTCATGCCTATAATTCTAGCACTTTGGGAGTCCAAGGCGGGTGGATCGCTTGAGCCTAGGATTTCAAAACCCGCCTGAGCAATATAGGGAGATTTTGTCACTACAAGAAATTTTTAAGAATTGCCAGATGTAGTACACACATGTAGTCCCAGCTACTCAGGAGGCTGAGGTGGGTGGATCACTTGAGCCCAGGATGTCCACATGGCAGTGAGCCAAGATCTGCCCACTCCACTCCAGCCTGGGCAATAGAGAGAGACATTGTCTCAAGAAAATTAAAAAAATCAATTGACTGTATCTATAGGATCTATTTCTGGACTCTATTCTGTTACCCTCATTAATATGTCCACCCTTATGCCAATACCACACTGTCTTTAAATCAGGTAGTACGAGATCTCCAACTTTAAAAATATTATTTTAGCTATTCTAGGTCTTTTACATTTACATATAAACTTTGGAATAAGCCTGTTCATTTCTATAAAAAACCTGCTTGGATTTTAATTGGGATTACATTGAATCTGTTTCAAGTAGATTCACAATGGGAATCTGTTTCACATCCACACTGAATCAAATTCACATCAATTTAGGGGCTGGGCACAGGGGCTCACACCTGTAATTTCAGCTTTTTGAGAGGTTGAGGTGGTTGGACACTTGAGGTCAGGAGTTCAAGACCAGCCTGGCCAACATGGTGAAACCTTATCTCTACTAAAGATATAAAAAATTAGCCAGACGTGGTGGCAGGTGCCTGTAATCCCAGCTACTTGGGAGGCTGAGGCAGGAGAACTGATCTCGGGACGTGAAGGTTACAGTGACCCAAGATCACGCCATTGCACTTCAGCCTGGGCAACAGGGCAAGACTGTCTTAAAAATAATAATAGTAATACTTGTATCTATGTTCATGAGGAATATTATTCTGTAGCTGTTTTTCTTCTAACATCTTTGTCTGGCTTTGGTATCTCAATTAGATTTAATTAGCTCTCGTATTTCCTAAGTCATATTTTTATAGTTAAATGGTTTTTGTTTTTCATAACCTGATGTTTTCACTGGCTGTCTTTATCAGAGCAGGATGTCAGTCTTCTAAAATTCAGGCTGCTATGGTAGGGAGAAGCTGAGATCCTTTTGAATAGTAACAATAATGTCAAGTGTTACATACTCCATGCTCTTCTGCCAAAGTATATCATGCATGAGCCTGTTTACTCTTAATGATATTAAAAAGTAGATAATCATCATCATGGAATAGAACAGGAAGTAGACCATGACAGTTAAGTGTCTTGCCTAGCCTACAATATTGTGAATCTAATATAAGTGGCATAGCAAAGATTAATACCCAAGTCTGTAACTTCATCTTTCAGTGATGTTGTAATGACTACTGTGGGCAGAATCCGTCTGACCTGTGACAGGCTGAAGTGAGTTGCATTTGATGGTTCTGTAAAATCCTGAGGCATGTGACTATGAAATCATCAAGTGTTTATTCTTCTATTTTACATGTGAAACTTGGGCATATACTTAATTATCCTAGGCCACAGAAAGATTCTTATTGTGATTCACTTAAATGATCTTCTGTAGGGAAGCATTTACGTCAATTAGAAATATGAAAATTAAATTTATTTCATTCAATGTATGTACACACAAGTTGTGTATGATTCTAATTTTTTCCCTTTTGTTTTTTCTAGCAATGAAGCTTGGAGATACATGGGTGGCTTTGCACAAAAGGTTACCTTTTTTGATGTATTCTTTAAAGGATTCAAATGGGGATTTGCTGCATTTGTGGTAGCTGTAGGAGCTGAATATTACCTGGAGTCCCTGAATAAAGATAAGAAGCATCACTGAAGATAATACCTGGAAGTATCATAGTGGTTTCTTAACTCTCCAAAATAAGATTTCTTCACTATAGCCTACTTGACTTGTTTGTCCCTTAAAGAATGATTTAATAAAGTAAAATAAAATATATATATGCCAATCTGTTTTTGTCATTGTTTTTTTTTAAGTGTCTCAAGCCGTATCAGATTTGGTTTAGAATACATAGTGGGTTGGAGAACAGCAGGAGTGACTTCTGCATATAGCAGGCATACAGCATATATTTTACTGAGAAAATGGACATGTTCTAACAAATTTTTTAAATCTTTTTTTTTTTTTGAGACGGAGTTTCGCTCTTGTTACCCAGGCTGGAGTGCAATGGCGTGATTTCGGCTCACCGCAGCCTTCACCTCCTGGGTTCAGGCAATTCTCCTGCCTCAGCCTCCTGAGTAGCTGGGATTACAGGCACACGCCACCATGCCCAGCTAACTTTTTTTTTTTGTAGTTTTAGTAGAGAGAGACGGGGTTTCACCGTGTTGACCAGGATGGCCTCGATCTCTTGACCTCGTGATCCACCCGCCTCGGCCTCCCAAAGTGCTGGGATTACAGGCTTGAGCCACCGCGCCCGGCCCTAAATCTTTTTTTTTTTTTTTAATTAATCCTGACCTAGCTTGCTCTAACAAGTTTTTAAATGGGAGTTGGTCTTACTGCTTTTATTGCTTTTGTCATCCTCTTCAGGTGGTTTAAAGGAACCCAGATTATACTGTAAATACTTACTGCCCTGTTCTGGTTGACACATCCATGTATTATGTTCATTTTTCTTAATTGTGGCATTTTCCACTCTTGCTTAGTCCTCTTGGTCCTTATTCTTCCTATGTCATGAAAAGCCATACTTTTTTTTTTTTTTTTTTTTGAGACAGTGTTTTGTTCTGTTACTCATGCTGGAGTAAAGTGGCAGAATGATCTTGGCTCACTGCAACCTCAGCCTTTCCCAGGCTCAAGGGATCCTTCCACGACACCAGGTTATCTTGTATTTTTAGTAGAGATGGGGTTTTGCCTTGTTGCTGAAACCCCATCTCTACTAAAGATGGCTGGCTGGTCTCAAACTCCTGGTTGGCCTCCCAAAGTGCTGGGATTGTAGGCATGACCCACCATGCCTGACCTTTTTCTGAATTTCTATCAAACTAGACATTCTTCCAACATTGACTTTTGAAAATTTAATTAGTTATATCCCTAGTTAAATAAAGATTTGGCCAGCTGCAGTGGCTGACGCCTATAATCCCAAAACTTCGGGAGGCCAGGGTGAGCAGATCACTTAGGTTCAGAAAGTAGAGACCAGCCTGGCCAACATGGTGAAACCCCAACTCTATGAAAAGTACAAAAATTAGCCAGACATGGTGGCAGGCATCTGTAATCCCAACTGCTTGGAAGGCTGAGGTGGGAGAATCACTTGAACCCAATTGAGGTGGAGATTGCAGTGACCCGAGATGATGCTACTGCACTCTAGCCTGGCCAACAGAATAAGACTGTCTCCAAAAAAAACAACAACATAGATTTAACACTTGGGGAGGGGTGATAAGTTTGCTTAAATAATGAAACATACAGTATCACAAGGTGATTTTTTTTTTCTTTTCTTTTTTTTGAGACTGAGTCTCCCTGCCAGGCTGGAGGGCTAGGCAGTGGTGTAATCTCGGCCCACTGCAACCTGTACCTGCCATGTTCAAGCAATTCTTCTGCTTCAGCCTCCCAGGTAGCTGGGATTTCAGGTGCCCACCACCACACCCAGCAAATTTTTGTATTTTTAGTAGAGATAGGGTTTCATCATGTTGGCCAGGCTGGTCTTGAACTCCTGACCTCATGTATTCTGCCTGCCTTAGTCTCCCAAAGTGCTGGGATTACAGGCATGAGCCACTGCACCCAAGGTGATTTTTTCTTTGTAAATTTCTTGTTTTTAAATGTAAACTTCAGCAATGCTAAAGCGAGACGAATTTCTAATAAACTGATAGTGGTAAATAGAATGTGGTAATATGCAACATAAAAAAGACTACATGCAAAAAAGGAAAGCATTTATTTATTTTAGATAAAATTTAATACATACTTTCTTCTCTGTTTTGTTTTTTGAGATGGGGTCTCACTCTGTTGCCCCGACTGGAGTGCAGTGGCCCAATCTCAGCTCACTGCAACCTCTGCCTCCCAGGCTCAAGTGATCCTCCCACCTCAGCCTCTCAAGTAGCTGGGACTACAGGCAAGTGCCACCACAGCTAGCTAATTTTTCGTATTTTTGGTAGAGATGGGATTCCACCATGTTGCCCAGGCTGTCTCAAACTCCTGAGCTCTAGTGATCCACCTGCCTCAGCCTCTCAAAGCCCTGGGGTTACAGGTGTGAACCACCACACCCAGCCTGTCTTGTTTTTGTTTTTGGAATTTATAGTCTCTTTATCTTCTGGCAAAATACTAGAAGCAAAAGGAAAGATTTTTAAAAGGAAAAAAGATCAATGGGGCAAATAGAAATAGCAAGATGATAGATTTAACTTAATCATATTGAATATTATATTAAATGTATATTGTCTAAAGTTTAAACTCTAAAACATAATTTCCTCTTTTGACAGAATCTCACTCTGTTGCCCAGGCTAGAGTGCAATGGCGTGATCTCAGCTCATTACAAACTCCACCTCCTGGGTTCAAGCGATTCTCCTGCCGCAGCCTCCCGAATAGCTGGGATTACAGGCTCGAGCTACCATGCCCAGCTAATTTTTGTATTTTTAGTAGAGATGAGGGTTTCACCATGTTGGCCTGGCTGTTCTCAAACCCCTGACCTCAGATGATCCGCCCACCTCAGCCTCCCAAAGTGCTGGATTATAGGAGTGAGCCACTGCGCCCAGCCCACTCTAAAACATTTCAGTTAAAAGATAGAGATGGCCAGGCACAGTGGCTCAGGCCTATAATCCCAGCACTTTGGGAGGCCCAGGTGGGCAGATCACTTGAGCTCAGAAGTTCAAACCAGCCTGGACAACATGGCGGAAACCTGTCTCTACAAAAAATACAAAAAATTATACAAGTGTGGTGGTGTATGCCTGTGGTCCTAGCTACTTGAGAGGCTGAGGTGGAAGAATGGCATGAGCCCAGGAGGCAGAGGTTGCAGTGATCCAAGATCGTGCCACTGCACTACAGCCTGGGAGACAGCCAGACCCTGTCTCGTAAATGAATGAATGAATGAATGACAGAAATGATCAACTTTGGCAAAAAAACAAGACCCAACTATAAACTGCCCATATGAAAACCCCAATGAAAAGAATGTTGAAATATATTAATATCAAAGTAGATTTTAGAATGAAGAACATTGTCTATGATAAAGACATTTCATACTAATGAAGGGGTCACTTCATTGAGAGGACCTAAAAAATCTTAAATGTTTATGCACAGAGCTTCAAAATACCAAAAGCAAAAACAAAACTTAGAAAGAGACAAAACAATTACGATATGTTTGGAGATTTCAACACTTCTTTCTCAGTAATTGATAGAAAATTAAAAATAGGCAAGGTGTGGTGGTCCATACCTGTAATCCCAGCACTTTGGGAGGCCCAGGTGGGAGAATCGCTTGAGCTCAGGAATTCAAGACCAGCCCAGGCAACATGGCAAGACCCTGACTCTTAAAAACAAAAATGTTAAAAAATTAGCCAGGCATGATGGCAGGCACCTGTAGTCCCAGCTACTCGTGAAGCTGAGACAGGAGGATTGCTTGGGCCCTGGAGGTTGAGGCTGTAGTGACCTGTGATCATGCCATTGCACTCCATCCAACCTGGGCAACAGAGTGAGAGCCTGTCTCAAAAATAATAATAATTTTAAAAATTAAAAAATTATGAATCACTCATTTTCTAACAAAACCCAGGGAATGTACAGGACTATCCCTTGGGTGAAAGGAGAAAGTATTTAAACCTCCGTTTTTACTTTCATGTTTAATGAAAATGAATTAAATGTTGTTAATGTTTAATAGAGCCACAGTGAAGTTTTCTCACAAATGGTGGATACCAAAGTGATCACACAGAATTAGTGGTAAGGTATCCCGAGATGAAAGTAACATTTCTAACCTCCAAAAGGAGAGAACAAAAGGACTCTTCGGCAAATTGCTACAGGCTGTAGTTTATATGTCCTCAGTTTTGGAATTTATTATCTACTAATTATTGACTGTTTTTCGTTTTTTGTGGGTTGTTTGGTTTTTTTTTTTTTAGATGGAGTCTTGCTCTGTTGCCCAGGGCAGTGGCGCCATCTTGGCTCACTGCAACCTCCACCTTTTGGGTTCAAGAGAGTCTCCTGCCTCAGCACCCCAAGTGGCTGTGATTACAGGCACAAGCCACCACACCCAGCTAATTTTTTTTATTTTTAGTACAGACAGGGTTTCACCTTGTTGGCCAGGCTGGTCTCGAACTCCTGGGATCAAATAATCCGCCCACCTTGGCCTCCCAAAATTCTGGGATTACAGGTATGAGTCATGGCGTCTGGCCTTTTTGTGGGTTTTTTTTTTTTTTTTTTTTTTTTTTTTCAGACAGGATCTCACTTTGTTGCCTAGGCTAGATGCAGTGGTGCAATCACAGCTCACTGCAGCCTAGACCTCCTGGGATCAAGTGATCCTCTTTTCTTAGCCTCCAAAGTAGCTGGGACTGCAGGCACATATCACCACACCCCATTAATATTTTTTTTATTTTTGTAGAGACAGGGAGCTCACCATGTTACGTAAGCTGGTCTCAAATTCCTGGGTTCAAGGACTCCTCCCACCTTGAACTCCCAAAGTACAGAGATTACAGGCATGAACCACTGTACCCAGCCATGTCTACTAGTTTTAACTCAACCTTCATGAAATAGATAAGCAGCTTAAAAAGATTTTTTACAAAGAAACTGCTGATTGAAGCTAATACTAATAACCCAAGAACAAGCAAATAAGAAGAAAAGAGAAGAGCCATGAACTCTGTCAGCAATATTACCAGTAAATAGGATGGTCTAATCATGAGATCATGAGAAGAGTCAACCAAAAAAAAAAAAAAAAAAAAGATTGAAATAAGGATCCGAACCCACTAACGAACCCACCATCAGTACAATGAACCTTGTCCTAACAGTGTGCTTGATCTGTTAATTAAAGATAGCATATAGTCATCATGATTTAACATT